CACTTTGTCACCCTTGGTAAAGTGCTGTAGCATCACAGCTCACAGCAACCTCCAGCTCCTGGGCTTAGGCGATTCTCTTGCCTCAGCCTCCTGAGCAGCTGGGACTACAGATGCCTGCCACAGCGCCAGTTATTTTAGTGTTACATTTTGGCCGGGGCTGGGCTCAAACCTACCACCCTCTGGTATATGGGGCCGGTGCCCTGCTCACTGAGCCATAGGTGCCGCCCGAGAAGTAATATCTTTTTTATCTCTTTTTTGTTGTTGTTTTTAGAAACAGGGTCTCGCTCTTGCTCAGGCTGTTCTTGAAGTCGTGAGCTGAAGCAATCCACCCATCTTGGCCTTCCAGAGTGCTGGGATTACAGGTATGAGCCACTGTGCCCCCTGGGCCTGAGAAGGGACTTTTTTTTTTTTTTAGAGACAAATTCTCACTTTATTGACCTCAGTAGAGTGCTATGACATCACAGCTCACAGCAACCTCCAACTCCTGGGCTTAGGCGATTCTCTTGCTTCAGCCTCCCGAGTAGCTGGGACTATAGGCGGCTGCCAGAATGCACAACTATTTTTTTGTTGCAGTTTGGCCAGGGTCTTGTTCGAACCCGCCACCCTTGTTATATGGGGCCGGCACCCTACCCACTGAGCCACAGGCACCACCCAAGAAGTGACATCTTAACAATATTAACTGTGGGGTTTCTTTTCTTTTTTTTTTTTTTTTGATAGACAAGGTCTCACTGTGTTACCCAGGCTGGACTTGAATCCCTGGGCTCAAGTGTTCCTCCTGCCTCAATTGCCCAAGTCTCTGGGACTACAGACATGTGCCACTGCACCCAGATAACAGTGGAGGTTTTAAGATATGTCCACACTCTGATACAACTCCCATCAAGTGTCGGAGCCCAACTTTCTTCTGCTTGTGTGTGGGATGGAGTTACTCACTTGTAGGGCACAGAGTGAGGCAGAGGAGATGATGTGTCACTTCCAACACTGGGTCATAAAAGGCACTTCAGCTTCCTGTTCTCTCTCACGCACATTGTGCACTCTGTGGGATGTTAGCTAGTATAGTATGAGCAGCCCTATTAAAGGACTCTGGTGGCAAAGTACTAAGGGCTCCTGCCAACAGCCATGTGAGCAATCCTTGAGAAAACTGTAGTCTTCACTGACATCCTGGCTGCAACCTCATGAGAGAATCTGAGCCAGAACCACCTAGCTAAGCCGCTCTCAGAATCCTGACCCCTCTGAAACCATGGGTTTTAAGCCAATATATTTTGGGTCCAGCAAATAGCATGATATGCCTCTTTTTTT